GTATATTTTGACTATTGTCTGCTTACAAGATGTTCCTAAAACAGTATCATTTAATTTTTCTTTTTAATTAATTTTGCAATTGTTTTACTTTGCATGGAAAGAATGTAAATCTACAGGATCAGCAACTCATTTCCCCAGTCATCTTATTTTATCTTCTGTTTAAATTAAACTTTTCTTGGCCAGATGTTGTGGCACAGGACTGTAGTCCCAGCAGCAACTTGGGAAGCTGAGACTGTCACTGGACTGGTCCAAGGAGGTTCCAAAACCAACCGTATTTGTAGAATTAAGTTGCAGTTTCACTGACTCCTTTCCCGGAACAAGAAGTGCAGGCTTTCAAGATGGGTGACAAGGATGTATTTATTTATTTGAATGAACAGAGATACATACAAATAAGAGTAAGCATAGCATTTGTATTTTAAGATCATAAACTCTGGACATGTTTTGGGCTTTAATCTAGGTCCTGTAACTCATCAAGTGGATGTGGGCAAGTTATATAAACTCTATATTACAGATGGCCAAATTAAGCAGAATTGATAGTTAGAAAGGGACTAGGCCCAAGACAGAATAGAATAGAGAAGCGGCAAAGTAGACCTGTGGGCAAGCGCTGAATTGATAGAAACTAGACCCCAAGATGAAGACATGTTGGCTAAGCCTCCCCAGAGATAAACAACAGCTCAAAGCTATACTGTAAATAGCACATTTTGGTCCAATAAGAACATGCTGACCCTCACTCCTACCCCTTCCAGAAATGCCTTTGTTCTTCTCCATGCTATGTACTCATGCTGCATACCTTGTCTTCCTATTAGATCAGTATTAGCTAAGTAACTGTACTTATAATCCTATAGGTTGATTGTAGTTTGACCCAAGGTAACCTGTGATGTAATTTTATTATATAAAAACCCCTTGACAAAGACCCTCAGTGACAACCCACTTTTGGAACCCCTCCTTCATTTCGGAGCTTTCTCTTAGTAAGACACTTCCTATTCTTAACAAACTTTGTCCTCGACTGCATTCTTCAATATCCTGAGATATGAACTTGGCACATCTAACAGGTTGGGAGTTATTTCCATGTAACATCTAAAACCTCAACTTCTGTCATCTGTAAGGTGAGGTTGATTATAATTGTGTCTATCTTATGGCATTATTACTCCAGGTTAAATGTGTCAATATTTATGCATGAGCCTGGGGATATAACTCAGTGGCAGAGAGCTTGCCTAGCTTACTGGAGGCCTTGGGTTCCACCCCCAGTGCCTTTCAGCTGAGAATTATAGCACATGTCTATAAATAATCTCAGTTACTTGGGAAGTTGAGGCAAAAGGAAAGCAAGTTTGAGGCCAGCCTGCACAACTTAGTGGTAGTTGTGCACTAAAAAGTAGCCGAGAATGCAGCTCAGTGCTACAGTACTCCGGGTTGCATTCTTAGTACCCAAACAAACAAACAAAACAAAAAAAGTGTCACCTAATTTTTGAAATTCTATAAAGTTATCTTCATTGGCAAGTTGAGTCTAAAGCTTATTGAGAAGAGTGAATAAATACATACGACTAAACTTAAAACTGTTGAGAAGATTGGTGAGGGTGAGTTTGCTCTGTTACAGGGTCACAGTGATTATATAGTACGGCACATGTCAAAGGAAAAGCCAACATATTGAAGGGAAGGGACAGAATTCAGGACAGAAAGTTAATGAGGGCCGGAACTGAAAGTGAGAGACCATGTTATCCTACAAACTTCCTTAATTATATTCTCAGGGCACAAAATATTAGCAGTATTCTTAAACGTGATAGTTGTATCTTCTACTGAGAAAGTAGACAGAGAGAAACAATCAGAAGTCTCTTTTGGTGTCTCATGGATTGATGAGTGCAGTCTGCTTCTACAGACTGCTTACTGAAAATTTTTGATCTCATATAATTAGCAAAGAGTAGAAATGAATAAATATTGAAGGAATTAGGGTAGTTAAAGTAGATTTAAAATGGTATTCATGATCAGTGGGACACAGATAAAAGTCTGATTTCAAAATTACAAGCAGGTTTTGTTTTCCCTTCAATTATGTGTTCAGGAAGTAATTTTAGAGCAGAAGAATTTAACAGACACTGGCTGACAACAGAATGAGCAGACTGTTTTTACTTGTCTTCTTTAGCCCAAAACAGACTCCATTAATTACAATAAATTTTGGAACAGCCTTGTCTTCTGCTCACATGCCGTATTTTAAAAATATAGAGTGATAGCTATTACCTGTTTAAAATATTTTTCTCACTATACTGAAAACCAGGACAGCAGTCACCTATGGGGAAACTAGGTGAAAGTAGTTTGCTTCCTGGAACCTGCTACAGGAAGAACAAGCCTTGAGGATGCAGGCATTTTTTTATACAACATTGCTCTAAAGATTCTCTTGTTGTTTTTTTACTGTTGTTATTTTGTTTTTTACCCCAAGAAAGATGCATGCAATGAAAACTGAGATGCAGGTAACAATTCAATTTACTTTGTTTCCTGGGAAAAAAATTACATCACTTCATTGCCATACTTCTAGATCCAGATCTTAAGAACCTGTGGAACATTTTGAGAAACTTTCTGATTCAATTTCTATGTATATCCCTGTCATTGAAAAAAAAATTTGTTTTCTGCTTTGCTTTGCTCTACGTTCTCTGAATTAGCTTCTTATTTAATCTTTAATCTTATGAGGGGGGTCAGCTGTCCCTTAGGGCCTATAATGAAAAAGGCCAATTGAGAAAGACTAGATTCTCCTTGGTTTAATAGTTCCTCATGTTTGGCTACGTCCAGCCAACCATCTGCAACCCTGAACTCCCTGCTGCGGAACTGGCAGGAGACAAAGAAATGGAAAACAGTACAGGAGTCACTTATGTGAACACAGAGATTTTGGCAGCTTGTCTGAATTGAGACCATAATCCTCTTCGGAAATCAGTTTAAAACGGAACTATTCACACAATAAACATGAAATTAAAACCCTGATGTAGTAGTGACCCAAAAGGAATGTGAATTATTCTCCAGGACACAAAGACCCGTGGATGAACTGTGTTTCTAGATTTTTACTTCAGCTTTCCTGAGAGTAAGTTAACTTCTAAATTGTGGTTATTTTGCATTTGTAAATATAAAGACTAGAAACAGAAATATCAAAACATTTGGGTGGAAATCATTAAATGCAGTGAATTACTAGTCATTTTGATTTTTCAAAGCATTATGAGTATTTTATATTGTATGGCTAAATAACCAGTTGGAAGATTTTCCATTTTACCCCATGACTAAAGGGCCTTTGGACAAATAGCACATCTAATAGAATAGGCTATTAGCTACGTTGAAAGGAATGTGATTTTATACTCTTTGAAAGTATGAACTATTTGCAAAGTTAGAACTACTTATTCTTTATTATTTAGTTTTACTGTCAATGGAATTATTAACATTAGAGGATACAAGATTTTGAGTTTCAAATTGTTTTAACTGACGAGAATATTTTCATTAAGAAAACTTGAAGAAATACTTTTATTAAACTTGTTGATCATAATTAATAAAAAGAATTTTAATCTAATTTGTTGTGCAAAGCATTTATTCTTCAAATATCAGGAATTTCATCTAACTGGGAAATGACTTTTTCAACCAATTTATAACTTTTAAGTTACACACTTTTTTCTATTCAGTGCAATTTAAGCTAATGAGGTGCTTTGTGCTAACGCAGTGAGCATTATTCTTTTCTTCCTGATATTTACATCAAAATAGGCAGTGGAAAAGATTAGTCTTAACTGAAACAACCACATTTATGACAATTAGATCATATAATTTTCCTTATTTATATTTTCTAGCATATATATTAATTTATAGAAAGAAAGAAGAGTAGCCACTTGGGCAACGTATTAAACACTTGTAGGTACCAAGACCAGTTACAGAATTGCTTTCTCAGTGGAAATGTGCAGTTTGGTTTTACTTGGGGTTTTCAGCTATCAGAGCCTCTTGATGGCATTATTACTGGAAGCCCATCTACGTAGGCGAATCCAGCCATAATGAACAGTATGAAAGTCTTTGTAATTTTTATATTTTCTATGTACTTGCTTTTGTATTTTGATGCCATTGTGTTTGTGTGTTTTTCTTGAATCTTTGTCAGATTTCATTTATAAAAGGTGAATAACGAGTTTTGTTAATTATACTCTTGAGGTTGTGACACACAAAGAGCATGTCTTGTTTTATTTCCTCTAACTTCTAGCTCCTGTTTCACACCTGGACTTCATTCCTATTTCCCAAGGTCATAGGTGACCTTCTTTTGACATTTGATGGTACTCCTTTAGTTCCTGGATATTTTTGAAAAATATGCATTGCACATAGTATAAATTCATATAAATCATATAATATAACTGAAACTTTGTTTCTTATTTTTAAATTAGCATTATGTTTTAGCTTCATGTGAATGAGTAAAGAACAATCTTTGCTTTTAATTCCTGTCTAGCACTATTTGGATGGTATGCTTTGAAATTTGTTTTGCAACACTATGCCACAATAATCTACACTATGAAAACATTCATATACAGGCTCCCTGGTGAACCCATAAGAGAATTTTCTTGGGATACATATCTAGGAGCAGAATTGATCAATAGTAGGATACTGTTTAGTAGTAATGAAAATGTAATAAATCTCCTAAATGACTAAGTCTATACTTCCACTATTAGTATATAACATTCCTTTATCCCTACTAGACAATTTAACTGCCAAGAGCTGCAGGGACACCAGCTCCTGATGCTATTAAACTCTCTAATATATGTCAGTACAATGAGAAATAAATGTTATCTCAATAGTTTTAATTTTTATTTCTTTCAATTCAGAGATTGAGCATCTCTTTCTTCTCTCTCTTTTTTGTTCTTTTTAAGTCTTTGAGCATTCTTCTCTAAGCATGCAATTGGAAACAGCTGTTAAAATGTTTCTCTTTTGCTTGATTGTACAATGTTTTCTATTTGGGACATTCATATTTGCTTCCTTTACTTCTTCGCTTTAAAAATAAACAGGTCAAAATGAGCAAGAGACACATATGCGTGCATCAACAAATGTGGACTCTTCTCTGCAAGAACTGCCTTAAAAAGTGGAGAATGAAAAGAGAGACCATGTTGGTATGGTTCAATCTGTGTTCCCATAATTAGAGGGGAAAAGTATTTTCTCAGCAACACAAACACTTTATCTTCATCATTTAATGTTTTCTGTACATTCTAAGCCTAATTAGCAGGCTAGATTTTTCCAAATCTGGACCCCGCTATTTTTCAAATAAAATTAAAAATGTGTAATTATTGTATGTCTTACTTGAGATATTTTTTAAAAGCACTCATATTCAGAAACTCCTTCAAAATGAAGCTATGTCTCTATACTACAGAGAATTCTTCACATCTGAACTCATTTGAATTTAATGAAAGCATTTACACAGCATTTCAAGGCCAAAGTCAAAGAAAGAGGCAGAATTTAGCACAGATTTAATTCAGAATTGTCCCAAAGTTTTAAAGAATCAAAAGAATGTTCTTATAATAAATAAAAAATAAAAATGTAAAGTGATGGACATAGTAATTATCTTGATTATTGTCCAATATATGTGTGACTCAAAATGCCACAGTGTACTTCATAAATATGCACAAATATTATATGCCAATCAACAGAAACATAAAGATAAATTTTAGTTGTTTGGAACAATTCAACTATGGAAACAGATAATCTCAGCCTGAAAAAACTAGTGGACGTTTAAACAGGAAAACAAAGCTGCATTTTGATCTTTTACTTCTATGAAAAAATACTTATTTTTATTGTAACAATGATTACATGTGCTTTGTATAGAAAATTCAGTAAATGTACAAAATCATAATAAGTTGAAATCACTCATGAAGTGCCATAGTTCAAGAGTTGGTCTGTTAGCATCTGATCTATTAAAACGTGTGTGTGTCTTCATTCAATAAGTATGTATTGAGTGGTTGGATTGTCAGTGAATAAAGTATACAAAAAATTTCTGCATGGAGCAAGGATTATGTAAGTATGGATATAAAAGTTGAGGTTGTACTGTATACAAATGTTTTAAATCCAAACTTTTAAGTCTGTTTAATAAACATTATATCTATATTTTTGTCTGTGTAGATAGACACAGATCAACAAACATAGATAAAATTGTATGTAATGAATATGATGTATACCTCTTTGTAAAAGCCTGTGTTTAGAATTATAACTAAAATAATAACATGGCTTTTTATCACTGGGCTTCAAATGCATTGTGTTGTACTTCCAATTCCAAAATACAGTCACAGTGACAATTTAAAAATTATTTTTATAAGCAATATTCTGTGCAGACAGCAGAAGACGAAAGAAAATATGACCTTGCTCCTGCTGATGGCGGCTACTTATCTGTTTTATGCTACCTACTTTTCAAAATTATGATAAACCATTCGGCCATTCATGGAGGAATCCAGCCCTGCCTTTAAGAATGATAAACCTAAGATTCTCAAACTAATTGATGTTGATGTCACATCTGTCTTGGACAGTGTGCATATTTCAAATGTGCAGATTAAAGTACAGAAGTAAATTAAAACATTTAAAAATGGGAGAGAAAAAAATGGAATGCAAGCCTCATAGCAGGATTAAGTGGTTTCAGTTGTTTATGGTAGAACACCTCTTGATTTATTTCATTTCTCTCTCATTGCTATGTAGGAATGGCTTTTATCATTTCTTCTAGTACTGTTTGCATTCCTATTTTCTTCCAATTTACATCAAGTCAATGACTCTTCCCAAATACCTGCGATGGATCTAGGACGTGTAGATAGTTTCAATGATTCTAATTATATTATTGCATTCGCACCCGAATCCAAAACCACCCAAGAGATAATGAGCAAGGTAGCTTCAGCTCCATTCATGAAAGGTATGTTTTCTGGAGTTCATGATAATTTTCTGGTTTGCAAAATATACAAATTCATTGTGGAATTTCCTTGATAAGTTGTGTTAAATGTTGATGTTTCTGGAGTTTATTAACAGCAGTAAAGCATAATCCTTTCCAGTATCAAGGAGATTTTCTTACTCCATTGACTAGTGTCCTGTTAGATGATTCTGTTGAAGGATTATTATCCTTTATAGTACATATTAAAATGAGTTCAGCTCATTTTTATTTAAATTATATTTTAGAGAAGATTCTGGAAAGATCGAATGGAAGTGATATGTTTTTTAAAAATCTCTTCAAATACATAAAATTCTAAACAGAAACTGAATAGCAAAGCCAGATACCTATGAGCAACATGTACAACAAAACTAGGTACAAAGTTTTTCCTTGTATCCCAAAATATAAGTGATTGAGGAAGTGTTTCTCTCTGGGATGGTAAGAAAACAAGGGAAGCAATGGAATACCTGAAGGGCCTGTGGAGAAGCCCGTAAGAGCTAACAAGCATCCACAGGAAAGTAGACAGCCAGTTGAAGAACACCAATTGAAGCCATTGTTAGTAATTATCTGGTAGTGCAGTATTAGATTGCTGTTGTGAGTATATTATATGCTTGAAGTAGGATAAACCAATAGGAAATTATAGAATAATCTCAATCTTGACCCTATGTTCTTGAAAACCAAGAGTCTCAGTATGAAAAAAAGGGGGTGCAAATTTAGAGTGATGGTGTAGACCTGTACTCTGGCACCCTGGGAGATGCAAAGGTCCTGAGTTCTATCCCCAGTACTGGAAAAAAGAAAAGGCAGAAGACTGGGACAGGAACCTTATAGAATGAAGAATCTTGTCATTCAAGAGAGGTTAGGAAATCATCAAGAACTTTTTGGTTATGTCAAAAGGATTCAGGAGTCAACTTGTCTCAAGTTGGGATTCAATAAGTAGAATAATTATAATTCAAAACTTGTCAAATAGAAATTTAACTCTGCCTTAAGAATGAGATTAAAAAGAAAGTGTAATTTCTTGTTTACATTATAGAATAGCAGCAAATGAGTGCTTATGATGTAAACTTTTAAAAAACGGGAAATTCCAGCATCTATCTTATCTGAATTATAAAATTCCATAACTGTATAGACAACGGAAAAGCACTATTTTATAAATGGCTTTTTACTTATAAATGAAAAAGAAATGATAGGAATACAGTAACAGCATTTTGAAGCCTTCATTAACTAATGGATCTAGGCACTGAACATTAATTGTTGCTAATATCTCAAAAGAGAAACAATCAGATTTTATGAGCTTCTGATAATTTATCGCCATTTATAATCTGACCACAAGGATTAAATCTGACTCTGTTAAGCCTCTGAATGCAGGTGGTGGATTACAGGACATACAGAGAACCTAAGAATGTGTTGTAGGGATCAGGAATATGCACCAGACTGTGAAATTATGTGGGCTAAGTGTCTGGGTTTCATTAGTAACAGCCTTTTACATTATATATTTTAGAATAAACAGTTTCTCAGGAAAATATTATCATATTTGACAATTTTATGACATCTTTAAAATCTGGCCACATTGATATCACTGACTAATGAAAATAGCTTTGTTGTTAGGTAGATATGCCTGTACATGAATTTAAATGGATGCAATGGAATTGCTACTACTTCAAATTCATTTAAATTACTGGCTAAACACTTTGTTTTTGGAAGGCAATATTTGCAATAAAAATATTGTCATGAAAGGTAATATATTTGCAATAAAAGTATTTGCCATATAACACTTCTGATTTACCCTATAACAGTAGAAATCTTCCACCTCACCTCTAAGTATGAGTCTTACAGCACTGCATCTGGGGAATAAATACCTCTAAAAAATAACTTCAACATAATTGAATTTGGCATGCTGGTTTTGGACCGCATAGAAATCTTACTTAACCATGTTTTTCTTCACATGGCAGGAAGGACAATCATGGGATGGCCTGATGAAAAGAGCATGACTGAACTGAATTTAAATTATTCAACAGATGCAGTGAGAGTTATCTTTAATGATATGTTCTCATATCATTTGAAATTTTCTTGGGGACATAGAATCCCTAAGATCAAGGAACACAAAGACCATTCAGGTAATCTTCCTAGCAGAAAAACACTTTTCTTTTTGCTATCAAAGCATTAGTTACAGAAAGGTATATGTGATAGCAGAAGTTAAATGAACAAAAAATATATTTTCTGAACATAAAATAAATCCATCCTTATTCAGTAGAACATATATTTTAAAATATGGTTTTCATCAAAAATTTTAAATTTCTGGGCTGGGGATTTAGCTTAGTGGTCCCTCCACCTGCCTCACAACTGCAAGGTCCTGAGTTCGATCTCCGGTACAAAAAAAAAAATTTGAAGTTTCTATTATTTCTATATTACTCCTAAATAAAACCTCAATAAAAAAGCTCCTTTTAAATAATTCCCAAATATTAAAAATCATTTTAGTGCCTTTTGGGGGGATACACAAGAAACAGAAGAGCAAATCTCAGCAGAAACATTCTGAAATTGAGAGAGAATTATAAAGTTGAGTGAAAAATCATTGTTAGTTGGTCATACAAATATTAACAAAGAAATTCTAGTGTATTCTTTCTTGGGTACACTTTACAAACCTCAATTGCGATGTCTTACAATACACTACATTATTGTAGATTTTGAATTCCTTTAGGAACATTGGAAATTTTGACTTTTCACATAACCAAGAGCATCCTATACTATAATAAAGGATCTGTTCTGCTTTTCTTACAGCTCATTGTCAAGCAGTGGATGAAAAAATCACATGTGAAAGTTCAATGTTTTGGGAGAAAGGTTTTGTAGCTTTTCAAGCTGCCATTAATGCTGCTATCATAGAAGTGAGTATTAAGTTAAGCAAAATTAATTGCATTATAAATTAAAGTTTAGTGGATGGAGACATGGATTTTCCTATAATTTATTCACTGCATTAACTAGGCACAATATAGCAAACAACTTTTATATTCAAACCATTGTGTAAACAAGTTTTATATTCAAACCATCTGATCCATTGGGTATCAGAAAATAAGCACAGAATAGACACTTTTATCCAAAGATCTGGTGATAAGGGAGGTGGAAATATGATATTTATAATAAGTGTTCAGTAATGAGTTTTTAAAAGGTGTTTTAGGCAAACAATGAAGTGAAAGAATATTTAAGAAATATCAGTGAAGATTTACTATTAAAATGTTATTCCAATTGGTCTAAAGCATAATTTGAACTTTTTTCTAGGGAATTTGGTAGCCAGAGATGTTCTAGGGAGTCATGATAAAACCTGAAGAGTTCCAGGGGAAACAAGGAGCTAAGACACAAAAGGGGTCGTTAGTCTACATATTTGTGTGTGAAATGTGTGTGATTCCTTACAAGTCAGTGAAAGAGCATGAACTTGTACTGATTTGATTAATGATCATTTTTCATCACTATCTTTCTTAAGATCGCAGTGAATCATTCAATAATGGAAGAGCTGATGTCAATTACTGGTGTAAATATGAAGATACTGCCTTTTATTGCTCAAGGAGGAATTACAACTGATTTTTTCATTTTCTTCTGCATTATTTCTTTTTCTTCATTTATATATCATTTGTCAGTCAATGTTACACAAGAAAGACAATACATTAAATCACTGATGACAATGATGGGACTTCGAGAATCAGCATTCTGGTAAATCATATGACTGCAATCCATTGTTCAGCATAAACAGAATGACTCGGCTGATTAGTCTCCTTGGATCTATAAAAATAGCATATTTAGACTTGACGCTTGCATAAAGTACTGTGTTATAGATGAATGATGGACCTACTCGTTTGCAAACTGAAACCTCAAATTCTCAGAATTTAAAGACAGATACCTGTGTTGTAGCTGTCTTCCAGTCCTTAGGGTACTGACAATACATGGACGACTCTCAGTTACTAGTTACCACGTCTGGTTAAACCAAACATAAGAAGCTGAGGTTTTCAATGAGCAACAGAGCATGTATTTCAGATACCGCATTAAAAATGGTGCCTAGTTTTCACCCCAGGTTGAATGAGTCAGCAGTTTTATAACACTGAGAAAAGAAAGCAGTTATGCTCATTGAGCACTGAGCTTCCCTAGGTGAAGGTAGTATTGCTGAGTGGTAAGAAGATGGGCCTGGGTGACAGGAAGCCCGGGACTTCTCCAACTCGGGATTTAGTAATTTCCACCTTGCACAAATTATTTCAACTCTTTCAACTTCAGTTTTCTTTTTTCTAAACATTGATATTATTTTTTTGTCATTGGTCATGAAGATTAAGGCAAGAAATGTGTTTAAACTTCTTCACAGAATGCTTAGGAAATGTTATTCCATACATTTTTGGAAGACAGTAGATGGAAATTAGAAAACTAAGGTTTGACCAGTGAGTGTTCAGTATTCTGAGTGCAGAAATAGAAAAGACAAATTAGATTGCTGATCTGGTCTACAATGGGAGATTTTCCTATTGTGTGTGTGTGTGTGTGTGTGAAGTGTTGTATCTCTATATTGAAGGAAATAGTGCTTACTCTATTTTAAAAGATGATGAAAATCTACAAAGAGTTGGAGAAAAATAACTAATATGATTTAAGGAAAACTCAAATAAATGCAAATAAGGAAGAATTAAAAGTCAGGGCTTTTTTTCCTCCCGCAAGGAAAGGCTGAGGTGTTTTATTTGTACAGCATTTGAATGGTATTAAGAGGAGGCCTATAAAAACATATAAACGAACAACTTCCAGAAAATGAAGTGCATTATTAAAATGGAAGCCTTACAATTGAGCATTAATAATTAGACTTCAGGGGCAGGTGAGAGAGCTCACATCTGTAATTTCAGTTACTCAGAAGGCTGAAGCTGGAGAATCACAAATTTGAGCCTGGCCTGGGCAATTTAATGAGACATTGTCTCAAAATAAAATTAAAATAAAATAAAGGAATATCGGCTGGGTGCAAGAATGCAAAGGTGCAAAGCCCCTTGGGTTGAACCCAAGTAGAGCGCTTGTCCAGTTACATGCAAGAGTTAGAGTCCCAGTACAATGAAAAAGAAAACAAAACAGAAATGACAAGACCAGACCTCCTAAAACATGCTGGCATTTTCTACTCTAAATAAAAGGAAACCACTTGTTCATTGTGGACCCACTATAGACCAGTTGCCATATTACATCCGGAAAATATCTAATTACCTTTAATTATCTTAATATTTTCCAAAAGGGAAAACTGAAGTTTAAGGAGATTAAATAACTACTTCTCAGCATTATCTAGTCAGGAAGTAGCAGAGAAAACTTGAACCCAGGCCTATGTAGTTAGAAAGCTTATTTTCTTTACCCTCTACGGAATTTTGTTTCTCTTTTTTGGGGCGACATTAATAGTAGAGGGGAAAAACATCTTGATATCCATGTATTTATCTGTATCTATTTATGTCTTCTGTGTATATCTGAATCTATATTTAATCATTTATGTCAAAGGTTGGCAATTATGGCCTATTTTCGTACAGTCTACAAACTAGAAGTAGATTTTCATAATTCTGGAAAAAAATTGAAAAGAACAATAATGTTATCCAGGCATGGAAATGCATACCTGTAATCCCAGTTACTCAGGAGTCTGAAGCAGGAGAATCCCAAGTTCAATCCCAGCTTACCTTCCCCTATAATATATAAGCTTCTGATTTGTTAGCCATTGCATTCTTTTGATCCCTGATAAATGGTGTGTGTCACAAATCTTGTGCTGACTATGTAAATTAGTAAATGAAGTGATGGTACAATAGCACTCTGAGCAGAGTCTATATTTCTCTGCTAGGCTTTCCTGGGGCTTCATGTATGCTGGCTTCATCCTTGTCATGGCTGTTTTGATGGCTCTTATTGTAAAATCTACCCAAATTGTTGCGTTAACTGGCTTCATGGTGGTCTTCATTCTCTTTTTCCTCTATGGCTTGTCTTTGGTAAGTTGATGAATTTTCTCTCTCTCCAATTATGTTGCATTGATTTTGTTTTCACCTCTTATGTTGTGTTTACAGTATTTACGTAAGACCTGTATCTAGACAGTTTCTAATCAAGAGTTGATGGTATATAGTTCTGTTTTACATTGTTTTGTTTTGGTTTTGGCAGTGCTGAGGCTCAAACTCAGGGTCTGGACATGCTACATAAATACACTTTTATAATATTGCATTAGTCAGCTTTCTGTCACCGTAACAAATGCCTGAAATAATTAACTTATAATGAGGAAAGCTTTATTTTGGCTCATAGTTTTGGAGGTTTCAGTCCATGGTTGATCTGCTCCTTTGTTTGGGCCTAGAGTGAGGCAGCGTAATCATGGTGGCAATACATGGCAGATCAGAACTGCTCACCTCGTGATGAGGATGTGAAAAATAGAGAAAGAAGAAGGGGCTAGAGTACTACAGTCCTACTTAAGGGCATTCTTCCAGTGACCAGAAGACTTCCCACTAGGTTTCACCTCTTAATGGTTCTACCACCTAATAATTTCCCAATAATATTGGGAAAGGCACCAAGACTTTAACATAACAGTCTTTCAAGGACAATTACCCAATCATAGCTAATATGAAATTCCTTTTATTGTGCCACTGATAGTTCTCCAAGTATTACACCAGCTGAATTTCTTTTCTTCTCAGATAACTTTGGCTTTCTTGATGAGCATGTTGATAAAGAAACCTCACCTCACTGGTTTGGCCGTATTTCTGCTTATCATTTTTTGGGGCAGCCTGGGATTCACTGCCTTGTACAGACATCTTCCTGCATTTTTGGAATGGATCTTATGTCTTCTTAGTCCATTTGCTTTCACTGCTGGAATGGCCCAGGTAAGAGTTAGGGTAACTATTTTACTTATTATGAAACATTATAAACAGATTCCTTCAATAATTCAGGCAACATGTACTAATCCTGATGAAGTCTTCTACTAGGTCCAGTTTATCACTTTCTGTGAGTTTTTACCTTCTCACAGGGTATGTATGTACTGTGGTTTGTAGTTAGATAAGTTGGGGGTGTTTTCTATGTATTATTGTAGATTTGAGATTATTCATCTTTGCAACCCTAGTGTCTAACAGAAATGAGACAGTAATTCTTGATGTTCTTAACCCTTTGTAAATTCTGTCTTTTTACAGCTTATACATTTGGACTATGATGTGAATTCTAATGTCCATTTGGATGCTTCAAACAACTCATTCATAATAATAGCTACTCTTTTTATGCTGGTTTTTGACGCTCTTCTCTATTTGATATTGACATTATATTTTGACAAAATTTTGCCCAGTAAGTAGTGGCATGATTGTAATTCAATACAATTTCATTAAGTGCTTTTATTTAAAATAAATGTCTGCAATGTATAGAATGTAAATTATGTAGCATTTCCACCAAAAATTTCTAAAACAAGACTGATAACATTCTGTATTTAGTTTATAGAATCACTTTCTAAGACTTAGAAAGACTTTGGCCATTTCTTCTTAAAAGAGGCACTTGCAAGAGATTATGGATAATTTATGCTATTAATGCTGTAGGTCATAATCAGATGAAGAATTATAGTTCTTGATACTTAGAAGTGTTTAAGTGCTTCCCCACTGAACACAAATAGCAGACATTGGTGGGTCACTGATGAAAAATAACTGGATGCTGAATGCATCATCTCTTCTATGGAGAAATAAGTTTTTCACCTATGCATCCATGGAGTTCATTTCTGAGTATATAACAGATAAATATTAGGGAAGAGCTCAGAGAGAGAGAGAGAAAGGTATATGAAAGGAAGAAAAGAGATTTTAAAATAGTGTTTTAGTGTTTCTGAAATGACTGATGAAGAATGATATCTACCTGTGTTATAAAGCCCCCAAAGTAGGACATTTTGAGGCCTGTCATTATTTCTGTGCTGTGGATTATCATACTTGGGGGTAAGAACCTTACTTAATCTGAGTGGAGGAAATCATAAAAGTACTCTGCATGTCAAAGGTGTGTGTGGGTGAACTAAACAAGGGATAAAGTTGCACAAAAGACCTACTCTACATTGGTGGATTACAGCAAGGTTGATAGAAACAATACAAAAATCATTCAGGGAAAGAAATATGGTTGTACAATTTAAATGAGCAAGAACAAATCCATTACAACAAAGATTCATCAAGTAATTCAACAATAGCCTAGTGGAATTTGCTTGAGCAATACAACTGATTAAGTTAACAGCAAAAAATCATACCATTCTCTAATCATACAAACTAAAATTTGATAATGTTCAGTACTGTAAATGCTTTTTAAAAGATTTTACCTTTTTTATTTTACCACTTTTAAAATACAAGAGAACATAGCTAGCCTTGGTAAGATCAATCAAAAATTTGAAATACAAAAAAACCCAGCAGTGCCCGAACATTTAGAAATAGATACAAAATACTTTAATAAAACAGTATTAGAAATTTTTTTAAATGTTGTAATAATACATAGAACTCTGGTATATTAGAAACAGTCTGTAAGTGAAATGAGCTTGGAAAATTTAAAAATAATACAATTGTTCCATTAATTTATGCAATATTATCAACTTTAGTAAACGAAACCCTGTAAATATAAAGTTAAAGTAATATATGTAAGGAAGTAATACCAGGATATTCAGTTATCGTAAGTGAAGTTGTTTTACATTGTTGATACATATTTAAAATACAGGTTATTGTTAAATAAAGAAAGATTGACAAACTGCTTTCAGTAATTTTAGGGGAAAATGAATATTAAGGAGTAAAAGAAAAGACCACAGATGTATGTACTACTTTTCAAAAGTGAAAGAAACTATTTTTCTCTAGTTATGATTTACTCGGTTTCAAAATTGTCCTGGGTAAGAATTTTGTAGAAAGATACAAATACTTTGTGAGCTCTATTAAAATGGAAGTTCTGAGATGGCATCTACCTTGAGTTCACTGGGAGAAAATTATTCAAAAAATATTCATGCTGATTTTGACAGGCGTACTAAGCTAAGTGATCAGAGGAAATAACGTGATGTATCTGGGTTTCTTTAAACCACATGAAAATGAAAGTCTTTTCTTTATTTTTAAAGTGTGGAAGCCCAGATGGCTGTTAAGTAGCATTATTTTAAAAAATAAAATTCAATATACCATCCTAGATGATAACATTTAGAGGTAGCTGCAGAACAATTATGTTGACCATGACCAGGTGACATTTTTAACAATATTGAAGAGTCATATTTGAAGGCCCAGATGTTGTGTAAGGGATTCATTCTGCACACAAAGCTTTGCTCAGATTAATTCTGAGGTTGCTTTTGAATCTCAGTGTGTGGAAATGAAAAGCCTTGATTTTGATGATTTACTAAACAACTGTAATTCTCTGAAAAATTTTTCAGTTGTAAGTTGCCAGTAGGTAGATAATTCAAGAGAGATAGATACTTTAATGTTTATGATAGTAAATCTGGGTTCATCCCCCTTATTATTACAGAAAAACCTGTTTTAAAGCAAATGTTTATATTCTTCCTTTTAAAAATGATGAAACCAGCAATATATACTTAGTATAATTAACTTGTAAGGTACATAAAAGTAAACTCAGAAATGTGCTTAATTAATCATCCTTATTGTCTGGCAGAAACTTCCATAGCCTATTTCATTTTTCTCTATTATTTATTAGCATTTCCCAGTTTTTTTCTATTCCATTCCTGCTAAGATTAATGATGATCAAAAGCTATATCTTTAATTGATAAGAATTACTAAAGAAAGCTTCTCATTTTTTTCTTTTTCATTATTACACATTTGCTTTTTTGTATTAGCAATTAAATCTGGGGCCTCATGCAAGCTAGACAAGTGCTCTTCAACTTAGCTGTATCTCAAAGCTTGCATTTCTTTTATTTTTAAAAAGTTGCACCCAATTTTGTTGCTCCCTGAGATTCTCTGGTGTTTCTTTTTGATCCATCTGGTACTTGCTGGCTTGATGAAACACTGCCACATAATGACACAGAGCCTGTTTCTCACCATAGCCAAGAACTCTGGGAAACATATTAATGTATCTGACCAAATTGAAGTGAGACCTGTTCTTAATGTTAGATTTCAATTCCTCCCGAAACATCTCGGTCTGCTTCAAGGATATCTTTATTTAGTTTACAATGCTACACCCCTCTCATATTGGAAACATCTATTAGATGATGACATCTCAGTAATTTTTTCCTCACGGTTTTGTGCATGTGTAAAGACACTAAAACAGTTATACTTTAAGGTGACAATGGGGGTTAGGGTTTAATATCAAAGGGCTTGCATGGACATGCTGCCCTATGGTGACTAAAGTTTTTCAAGTCTGGACTGACTTAATGTTTAATTGCCCCTTGTCATATAGCCCAATATGGACAGCGACATTCTGCCATGTTTTTCCTAAAGTCCCCCTTTTTGGTGTAAATATCAAAGAACTGATCATGCGGTACTTGAGAATGAAATAGAATCTGATCCTTCATCCAATGACTCCTTCGAACTAGTGCCTGCAGAATTCCATGGAAAAGAAGCCATCAGGTAACATATCACACAGGGATGCAACGGAGAACAAGATCAGGGGTCTATCAGGGGTACAAGCGCTGCCACCTGTGTCCCTTTTTCCCTAACCTCCAACCAGTCTGATCCGCTCAAGAAAGGCTGCTTTTATTCTTAATCACACTGTGTTTTCTCACATCCTCAGCATTTACATTCACTAATATCTGTAGTACAGCAAAAACTACCAACAAATAAATAATATGTGTATTTCCATTTTTCTCACTGTCTCTCTTTCTCCTTTTTGTGCTTGTCTGTCCCTTCCTCTGCTGCTCTCTTTGTGACAGACAAGGCCATCACCTCATTTGTTATTCTCACCCCTTTTTCTCTGTGATCCACTTAGGCCTTCTCCTCTTCCCTTATAGCTGCTACGATGAAACAAAAAGACAGATATTGCAGAAAAGGAGAGAGAGACATTCCAGAGAGATGGAAAGGAGTAGGAGAATTAGAAGTACTAGTGCCTTGCATCTCTTCCTTCAGAGACAATGGACATGCTTTGTTTAATATTGAGTGCTTTGGCTTCCAAATAGTGAGAAATCTCTAAGATCCTAGATCTTTGCTCAAATTCCATTCATCATTCAATGTTGAGTTCATTTCACTCCTCAGTAAAACCTTTCTCTACATCTTCCACTATTCTGTTTTAACACTGTAACTTTATGAAATTTAACAGTCTTTAAATATTTAGGTTCTATAACCACAGGTCCAACGTGAACTGACAACACTGAGTTGTACTCTATTATTGCTCATGAGTTGGTGTTCTGCTCTCGAAGATTATTATCTCCATCCAAATAAAACATTATGTTTTTTGTTCTTTTCTATGCCTAGGAAGGAATCAGGTCCTACCAGAGCAGTAATAGAAAGCTTTAAATATGGAGAGAAGGCATTTGGATCTACTCAGTAGGCAAAGAAAAATGTAGTGAAGTTTTGTGGATTTTAGGTAACAAGATTAGTCTTATGAACTAGAAAGATTATATCTAGCAACCAGTGGAGGCATTGGAAGCAGAGTCTCACATACTGTCTGTCAGGATAGTGCCGAAGGTTTTGTCTATAGCTTGGTAACCCAAGACTGCCTGGCTGCTTCGTTTGCTGTGGTGTGCACCATATTGGCAGAGCAGTTCATTGTTATAAAGCTTCATGTCCATCTATCTAATGTCCTTCACTCTGGCTCACTATCAACTCTCAGCATAGAAGGCAGAAAACTGAAATATCAATTAAAATGTACTATTGTATCAAACACAGAGTAGCGTCTACCTAACCTAGAATATAATAAACACTGAGTTCCATCAAAACTTATGAAAAATCCCAGCACTCTTATTATTTAGAAGAAATGATGAGACAAAGCAAGCTGATACTTATGATTGCCTGAAAAAGAAAAGATCAGGAAAGAAAGGCCAGGAAAACCCAAGCAATTTGCCCAAGGCCACAGAGTTTAGGAAGAGTGACAGTATCCAAACCCCATGTACCCACTTCAAGGCTATGACAACTCAAGGACCATCTCCTCCATAGTCTCTTCTATAACAAACTGGGTGTTACCTATCCTATGGATCAAATCATGTCCTCCCAAATTCATATATTGAAAACCTGTGATGGAATTTGGAGATGGAGTCTATGAGAAGTAATTAGGGTTTGATGAGATCATGGGGGGGCTTCATGATAGGATTAATATGTTTATAAGAAGAGAAGACAAAAGAGAGGCACATGACCATTAAGAAAGGACACAACAAAAAGGCAGTCTTCTGCAAGTCAGGGAGAGAGCCTTCCCCAGGAGCCAACTATGAGAAACAACTTTGATATTTGAGCCACTAAGTCTGTGATAGCAGACTAGACAAAATAATACAATCTATGTGCTGATTTGCTCTTACAATGTAAGAAAATAAAGCAGATAAAATGCACAGAATCTGGCTTATAGTAGACTTTAGACTCATTTCAAATCTTTTTCTATGTATTCCTTTTTTAAAACCTGTCTTTGTGTGTGTGTGTGTGTGTGTGTGTGTGTGTGTGTGACAGTACTAGGGGTTGAACCCAAAGATTTTGTACTGAACTACATCCCAACCCTTTTGTTTTATTTATTTTTAAATTTCGAGTCAAGGTCTTGCTAAATAGCTATGTTGCCTGGGTTGGTCTCAAACTTGCTTCCTCCTAAGCCTCCGGGAATGCTGGGATTACACGCGTGTGCCACCACATCCAGTTTTAAACCTGTCTTTGCTTTAAACTTTTCTTCGTGTCGACTTCTATTCTCATTTTATTTTATTTATATATCTCAAGCATTTCGTATGTATTATCTTATTTACTCTATAAATTACCCCTCCATGATAGTTAATGCTGTTATTCCCATTAGACTGCTGAAGAACTGAACTCAATGACTTCTGAGCATGTAGTATTTATAACACCTACCAAGTGACACAGCTGGGACTTCACCCATGTCAGTTTGACTCTAAAACCCTAATCTTTCTGCTCTGGTGTCTGGGTTGCATTTTAAAAATTTTCCTCCATAGCATCTTCTAACCATTGATTTCTTTTCCAGCTTTTAGCTTCTCGAGTCATCTGTCATAATCCTCATAGCTATATTTCTGCATGCTAGCTACCCCTCTCTGTGTAGTCTGCTCAAACAGAGGCTACAGTGATCAAGGGTGCTGCTTCTTAGGAGATACCCTAGAGCCCTTAGCCCATGCCTGTATAAAGCAAAAGAATCCCCAGATTTTCTTGCAGCCTCGAAGTGTTGATCTACAGTTTCCTCAAAAGGGTTTCCTCTTTTGCAGAATCAAAAACCTTAAAAAAGAATATAAAGGACAGTGTGAAAAAGTAGAAGCTTTGAAAGGTAACAAACATTATATTTAACATGGATTTTTGACTCAGTGACGATGCCTTATAGTTGTAGCACCTTGGTAGGAATTAAGAACAGATATTCCCAATATTATGACTCGACTTTATTTTAAAAAATAAAATATTTGAAAGTAAATGAAAAATCATATAGCAATTCTTAAAATAGGATGTACTTTATGAGAAAAAAAATTGAAATGAAATCTATGTAAATAGGGAAGGGTGGAGGGGGTGAAAGGTGCACAGGTAATGGGGAAAAAAATAAGAACAAAGATACATCCTCTATAGGTACAAGTACCCAATGATAAATGTAAACGTATTGTATACCTAAAGTGTACCAATAAAAGAATTTTTAAAAATAGGATGTACTATTTAGAATCTTATGGATATGAAACATATATGCTAACATCATATGCTTTATTTCCAGTTCATCGTATACTCTTGTCTTGAAGCTGTCTTTACTATAGCCAGCCTCTTTTTAAGAACAAAATGCTCTTATAAAAAAATTGTTAATCGCATAATGGTATGTCACTGATGATGCTATAATGTTAAAATGTTTATCATATAAAATACAATTTAAAAGGAAGAATCTTAAGATTGATTATATTTTGAATATTCCATACTGTAAGAAACATACAAATTTCAGAGAATGTAATGTTACCACATAGGCTCTGAGTGTAATTTTTTTGAAATCGTCCCAGGTCTGGTACTTGACATATATGAAGGCCAGATCACTGTCCTCCTTGGTCACAGCGGAGCTGGGAAAACCACCTTGTTAAACCTGCTTAGTGGACTGTCACTCCCAACATCAGGTGAGAGGACAATTATCTAAGGACAAGTTCAGGAGCAAATGAATTAACTATGAATTTCATTACTTAACTTCAATGGCCTGTTAACTATTTGTTACATCAAGTATTTAAGAGAAAATTTTAGAAGTTTCCTTAAATATTATACTATATATATACATTATATGGTATGTACACTTTTTATGCTTTCATGTATCAGTTTTAAAAATCAATTTTAAGAGTTTAAGTTATTTTTATGCAATTATATTGCATTTGTTTAAGAAAATGTTGCATTTTAAATATTTTGTTAATAGCTTTATGATTATTCAGTTAATGATTGGCATCCCTGCTAGGTCAGAAGGTATTCTGAACATTAAATTTTTAATCAGTCAGCTGTATTGCTTACAAGTAGACTGTTTAAATGGATCTAGTAATTTGCATATAGTTTTCCATTTTTAAATATCTTAAATGCAACATGACACTTTGTTCTGATGGTAACTCTCCACTTTCTGCTTATAGGTTCTATCACTATCTATAATCACACACTTTCAGAAATGGCTGACTTTGAAACTGTCAGCAAGCTCATCGGAGTTTGTCCACAGTCCAATGTACAATTTGGCTTTCTCACCGTGAAAGAAAATCTCAGGTTGTTTGCTAAAGTAAGAGGGATTTTGCCACATGAAGTGGAACAAGAGGTATGTGAGCTGTCTCATAGCCACGACAATGAAATTGCTTAAATAGAAAATTCTAAACGTGTTTGTGTTTTGTACACAATTTATCATCTAAAGCTTAGACAAAAAGGCCCTTTCTGAGGACAGAAAAAAATAATATTTTTGTAAAAATAAACGTTTGGATTTTGGACTAAATGTTCTTTTTTTTCCTTAAATTCTTTTATTGGTACATTTTAGGTATACAACACAATTACATTTCTCATTGGGAACTTGTACCTCTACATGATGCATCTTGGTTCTTATTTTTTCCCCATTCCTAGCCCTCCCTTCATGCCCTCCACCCTTCCCTATTTACAAAGACTTTATTTCCATTTTTTCCATTTCTCATCATTTTTCCTTTCCCTTCTTTCCTTTCCCCTGCCCCTCCCACTACCCCTACGCCTTTGGACCGTTTCTTCCTATTTTGCATTATCGATTATTCATTCTAATCCTTGGTACATTTTAGGTATACAATATAATAACATTCATCGTTGGAAATTTGCACCTTTACATAATCTCTCTTGGTTCTTATTTAGCTTTGCTCTACACGAATGACAGACTCACTGAGAGAGAAATAGGACAAATAATTCCTTTCACAATAGCATCCAAAAAATTGAAATACCTAGGAATCAACCTAACGAAAGAAATCAAAGACCTCTTCTCTGAAAACTATAGCACTCTCAAAAGAGAGATTGAAGATGATATCAGAAAATGGACAGACATCCCCTGCTCCTGGGTAGGAAGGATTAATATAGTGAAAATGGCCATACTTCCAAAACTGCTATGTAGACTCAATGCAATTCCAATTGAGATCCCAGCAGCATACTTCATGGACCTTGAGAAAACAATCCAAAAATTTATTTGGAACAAGAAGAGACCCAGAAAAGCAAAAGCAATTCTAGGTAACAGAGACATGGCAGGGGGTATCACAATCCCCAACCTGAAACTATACTACAAAGCTACTGTGATAAAAACAGCATGGTATTGGCAAAGAAACAGACCTGAGGACCAGTGGAACAGATTAGAAGATGCAGAAACAACGCCAGACACACTCAGCCATCTCATCTTCGATAAAGGAGCCAAACACCCTCACTGGAGGAAAGATAGCCTCTTCAATAAATGGTGCTGAAAAAATTGGGTTTCAACTTGCCAAAGATTAAAACTAGACCTATATCTCTCACCATGCACTAAACTAAAATTGAAATGGATTAAGGATCTAAATATTAAAATAGAAATGCTGAACCAGTTGGAACAGAGGTTAGGTACAACTCTTGAAGACATCGGTGTAGGGAAAGATTTTATGAACACAACCTCAGTTGCCCGTGAACTAGCACAAATAATCAACAAGTGGGATCTCTTCTTATTAAAATGCTTCTGCACAGCAAGAGAAACCACCAGCAGTGTGAAGAGACAACCCCCAATGTGGGAAAAAATCATCACCTGCTTTTCCTCAGACAAAGGTCTACTATTTCGAATCTATAAAGAATTTAAAAAGATCAGACCTCCCAAATTTAAAGACCCAATCCAAAAATGGGCATCTGCAATGAACAGACATTTCTCAGACAAGGAAGTAGAAATAGCAAATAAATACATGAAAAAATGTTCAACATCACTGGTCATTCCAGAGATGCAAATGAAAATAATGCTGAGATTCTACCTCACCCCAGAAAGAATGGCTGCTATCATGAAATCAACCAATAACAAATGCTGGTGGGGCTGTGGGGAAAGAGGAACCCTGCTCCACTGCTGGTGGGAGTGTAGACTGGTGCAACCACTGTGGAAATCAGAATGGAGATACCTCAAAGAACTAGGACTGGACGTCCCATTTGACCCTGCTATTCCACTGCTGAGGATCTTCCCCAAAGAATGAAAAGAATCATACCACAGTGATACATGTGCATCCATGTTCATAGCAGCACAGTTTGTGATAGCTAAAACTTGGAAACAGCCCAAATGGTCATCAACTGGACACTGGATAAAGAAAATGTGGTTATTTTATAAAATGGAGTGCTACTCAGCCATGAAAAAGAGAAATTAGAGACATTTATAGCTAAGTGGATGCACATTGAGGCCATACTCTTAAGTGAAATAAATAGGACACACATGTATAAATACCAAATAGTTTCTCTAGTGTGAGAAACTGAAAGTGTAAATAAGGACTAAATGTATAATAGGTAATGTGAAATAGGAAGAAAAGGGGCACAGGGGAAGGAAGGGGAGGTAGGGGAAAGGAAAGAAGGGTATGGAATTAATATGAGAAAATGGAAAAATAGGAACAAAATCTTTGTAAATAGGGAGGGCTGGAGGGGTTGAAGGGAGGGCTGGGCAAGGGTGAAAAATAAATGTTCTTTATTTGGTTAGGTACAGCAAATTCTACGGTACTTAGAGATGGAAAATATTCAGGACATTCTTGCTGAAAATTTAAGTGGTGGTCAAAAAAGGAAACTAACTTTTGGGATTGCCATTTTAGGAGATCCTCAGGTAAGTTGAAGTAAAACTATTGGCAAAATCAGATTGAAGACTATGTATTAGATCAAACAATTTACAAACAATAAATGTAGGAGAATTTTTACAATGACATAGTACTAAGTTGCTTCTCCTCAACACTTTTACAAGTATAGTGCTTTTTAGAGGAATCCTACTTGACTGGGAAAAACATTTTTATGTTCATTTCTACTGTCCAGGTTTTGCTATTGGATGAACTAACTGCTGGATTGGATCCTCTTTCAAGGCACCACTTATGGAATTTCCTGAAAGAGAGGAAATCAGACAGAGTAATTCTCTTCAGTACCCAGTTTATGGATGAGGCTGATATCTTAGCTGGTAATTTCTGGTTTTTCATTCACATATCTTAGTGAGAAATTGGAAACATGTGTAGAATGTGAATAGATATGCTCTATAAGCTCCATCTCACTTGTCACTTTACTAGTAAGATTTTTGCATGTCTGTATCCCAGAGTACTTTGTCCTATGGTCATATTCTACTTCAATTATCTAGCATCAGAGGTTGTAAAATATCCAGTACAGTTTCAGAGACGTGGTTTTTTTTATTGAATAGGGACATCAGTTGGCTTGAAACACATTGTTTACATGCTTGATAACTTTTCTAAAGATTCTAGAGAACAAATAAACATAATTTATCATTACAATCTTTGGATGACAACGAAAGTGTTTTACACATGGCAGAATTAGAATGCATCTATTTTAGTGTATCATGCTTCTAAAATGCATTATTTGTTAGTGGATTCACTTATGAATGGTGAAGAAATAATTCCTTAATACAATTTCATCTTGGTTCTTATAATCAGATAGGAAGGTATTGATATCCCATGGCAGGCTGAAGTGCGCTGGTTCTTCTCTGTTCCTGAAGAAGAGGTGGGGTATTGGCTACCATTTAAGGTACGGTTCTTAATGTTGGAGACACGTTGGGATTTGTTGAAAATGCCGAGGGAAGGTGAGATTGTGAACATTAAAAATATAAGGATGGTTAATCCAGTTTTAAATAAATGTTGGGAAAATATTTTCATAACATGCTGCTTGGTAAGCATAATTTATTGATATTTTAACATTTTTTCTTATCATACGTCAGAAGTATATTTTTCTTTATCCTGACAATTGCACTACCTTCCTCTCTAGTCTTTCTGACCTCATTTTTTGGCCGTTCTTTTCTATATGCTTTTATCATAGTAATTATCACTGTTAAGTAATTCTATTACCTAGTAAGTGTTTACTATATTTTAGATTCTTGCTATAATATGTACATGTAGAATACTCATATTATCATATTTAATCCTTCAAATAGCCCTAAGAAGATGCTACTATTACCCTTCTTTGGCAAATAAGACTAGAACATACCAAAGTTTTAGTAACCCACCAATCTCATACTGTTTGTAATTGGTAGAGTCTTTGAATTAAAATCAAGATTACTGTATTTTCTACTAAAATATTAACATTTCTTAAGCAATTTAAATCACTTATCCCCAGTAGTTATATGGACCTCATTATTTACACTGAGTGCCTAACCTGATCAAATCTACATTCCATCATTATTACTTGTCATAATCAAGTTCCTGCTTACTCTCCAAGTAAACAGGACCACTTGCTGCTGTTCTCCGAGCATGTCCCATAGTTGGCTATAGTTTACTTCCTTACGCTGAGGGACACCTGTATAACATGTCCTCCTCCAGTCCATTTAACCTTATCCAAATCTTACCCATTC